CTACTTTTATGCACTCAGGAGTGTTTTGTAGTCGGAAACCAGTGTGAGGAAAACATTTCTTGTTAAATATATGAGTAGGTATTTTATTGTTTGCTATTGTGAATGGGATTTGCTCTTATATCTACTAACTGACTTTTATTCGTATGTATGAAAGCTCATTTTTTGCATGTTGATTTTATAATCGGAAATTTGACTCAATTCCCTTACTGTGGTGGTAATTTTTCCATCGCAAGTAGGAATAGTCTTATCCCTTTTAAATCCTTATGCTTCCAGGTGCTTTCTCTTATCTGGTGGTGTTGGCTAATACCTCAACACCTTGTTAAATTGTAACAGAGATTGTGTGCACCCTTACCTTATTCCTCCACTTTAGTGAGAAAGCCTCTTGTTCCCTTTTAAGGAAGATGCTGGCTTTTTATCATGTTAACAAAGTATCTCTCAGTTCCTGTATTATTGTACTTCATTCTTTTTTTTAACTACTATTTTAAAGAACAGTATAATAGTTCATTATTTAGATATGCCGTAATTTACGTAACCCGTAAAGCCAGCTCAGTTTTAAGCATGGGCTCTGGTGTCACACTTACGTGAATTTAAATCCTGACTTCCTTCACTGCTTATCTGTGTGACCTTCAACAAGTAACTTATCATCTCTGGACCTTAACTTCCTCATCTGTAAAAGTGAGGATAATAGTAGTAACTAAACATATAGTGTTGTTGCGAGGGTTAAACACATTAATAAAATTCTTAGAGGAGTGCCTGGTAGGTAGTAAATGCTAAATAAATGTTAGCTCTTAGTCCCTCTCCCATTTTTTTCTGCTACAGAGAGTGCTGTGATAAATAGCCCTGAGCATAATCGTGCAGTTGGTACAAATGTTTCTTTAGAAAAACACCTGAATGTGGGGTTGCTGAATTGAAGATACACTGTTTTAAATTTCAGTAAATAATTGTCATATTGCCCTCCAAAAAAAGGTGAACCAGTTTATATTTCCACCAACATTTTAGGAAAGCCAGTGTTTTCTACTACTCTTGCCAACAATATATATTATTTGTCTTTTTAATTGTCAATTAGATAAGACAAAAACCCACACCAGTCTGTAAACTGATTGGTATCCTTTTTCTATGTTGGCCTTTTAAAAATTGATCTCTAAAAATACTAGGAAAAGCAAATTATTGAATGACACACAGCTTTTGACAACTGTCGCCAGAGGACAAGGTAGTTGTTGATTATAGTGAGTAGCGAGCTGCACTGGAAAGATTGCCGAGGTGTGGCCTTTAGGAGCTCTTTAACTTCATGGACCTGTTCTCTCCTTTGAAAATGAGGAGCGAGAACAAAGGATCCTTGAGGTTCCTTTAACTCTCAGATTCCCATCTTCTCTGTCACATTAGATCATATGCTTCTTATGGTTAGAGTCTGTTTTTTCATATTTTATCCCTAGCACCTGGCACAGTAACTGGATCACGGTAGGTATTCAGTAAATGCTAGTGGAACTGAACTGCCATGGAGGTATCTGAGGATTCCTCCACAAGGCAGAGCAGTCAAGTGGCAGCCGAACAGGGTGCACCACAAGTGGGGACACAGGGCTGGGTGTGGGGTAGGTCGAGTGGGATGCAGGATGTTTGGTGAGATGTCGGTGAGCTTTGCCTGAGAGGGGCGAATTAGGCAAGTAGTCAGCTGAAGTGGTGGGTGTGCCTGGTAGTCGTGCTGGTCATGGGTCCTGACCTGGAAGGTTGGTCTGTAGGAAAGGAGGCTCTGCTGTGTCTGTGTGTATCCACTGAGATTCAGTAGTTTGGCTTAGTCCTTTGATCCAAGATGGTAGAGGTTAGATATCAGAAAGAACATACGACAAAGCAAGATGTCACGCGTGAACAGAGGAATGAGGAAATTAGACAGGCTATTGTTATAAAGGTTGGCAATTCGAATCTACCCAGAGATGCCTTGGAAGAAAGGCCTGGCACTCTACTTCCAAAAGATCATAGCCGTTGACAACCCTATGGAGCACAATTCTACAGTAAAACACATGAAGTCGCCATGAGTCGGAATCAACTGGACGGCAGCTGTGTTTGTTTTTGTTATAAAGCCTAGGCGTAGGCACCTGCACCACGGTAAGGTTTGAAATCAGCCTGGGAACTCAGGGAAGGAGAAGAAGACCCCACTGCCTGGTTGCTTAGGGCTCTGCTTCCATGGTCAGGCCTTAGCCTCAGAGCTCATGGAGACTGTATTCAGAGGTGGATGTGGAGGCAGTCTGGTAAGATACTAAAGCTGTTTAAATACCTCCTTCCACAAATACAGATTGATCTGGCACTAGGACAGGCTTAAGTTCGCCGACTCAGCTGTGGGAGATCTGGGCAGGCAGAAGAAACAGAAATGAAGCCAGAGGACAGACGTTGTGTGAGAGTTCTTTACCCTGTATTATACTGTCGGTATTACCTATATTATCACCTCCATTGTGAGCAGTTTGGTTAAGAGGCAGCGATACCTGGAATGTTCATTGAACTTTTGATTGAGGATGCTTACAACCTTCTGTGACTTGTAGACCCTTTAAAATTCTCACAGTAGGGCTCCACAGTTCACTGGAGGGGTTTGAAACGTGGCAGGCAGGCATGGATAGGACGGGTAGAACATTCGATTTAGGACCCAGGCCTATGAATCCAACTATGCTGGAAAACTGTGGAATTGATTCCATTCCTGTAATTATAAACACATAGGAAGTTTCCAGTAAGTTATCTTTTTTTCTAGTTCACTGGGCCTTCCTGCTTTGTTCTTTTACCTTGATTTTTCTTCCCTAGTAGCACTATTACTTTATAAGCACCCTAGAGGCTTGTCTCCTAGGACAGTGTTTATTATTTTATGTTATCCAGGCAAAATGTACCTTAGGAAGGCATTAACGTAAGAGGAAAAAAAAAAAAAACAGTAAAAGAAGTGTAAGCTTTGCTACTGCTGAGATACGAAATTTAGGCTATGCAGTTAGTCTTGGTTCTAAACCCCAGCAATGTTAATTGGTAGGTTGGTGGTGGTGGGTGGGAGATTTCAGGGAACCATAAACTCATGGAAGGGCTCTGACACTTAAAAGTGGCACCACTGTGGCTGTTTCTCAGTCCTGGCCCGGCAGTTTCAGAGGTTTGTGCCAAGAGCAGGGCCAAGAGCAGGGCCGTTGTTTACAAAGCTGACCTCATGCTGGAAGAGATCGGATCAAGGAGAGCAGCTGCGCCTGCTGCAGCTCATTTCACTTTTCACACTGATGACTTATCAGTCACTTTAGTATTTTATGAAAAGCTCCAAAAATGCACGCGAACCCTTTGTCTTCCTCTGTTCTGCTGGAAAGCGATAAAAACAGAAAGCTACTTGTGTTCTAGCAGTCCTTTCAGTTCTGGAAAAATATTGTTTGAATTATTGAGGGGAAGTTGCTAATCTTACCTCTTTTTGTTTGCTTTTGTTTTTGGTGAAGCTTGTTAGAGTCCTTTGGATGTGAGTGTAATAGCATAAAAAACATAAAAAACAAACGCATTGCCTTCAAGTCAATTCTGACTCCTAGCAACCCTAGAGGACAGAGTAGAGCTGCCCCACAGGATTTCCAAGGAGCTACTGGTGGATTCGAACTGCCAGCTTCTTTGTTAGCAGCCAAGCTCTTAACCACTGTGCCACCAGGCCACCCATTAATAGCATGAAGTCTAGAAAAAAGCTTTTAAGTAGAAATAAATTTGCTTTCACATTATTTTTCTTAAGTACTGTGGTGTCCTAGGCACTTCTATATGGGGGAAGGAGTCACCCTGTTTTTTATTTCTGTGTATGCTGAGAATTATTATTTGTATTTAAATCTTGTGTTAGGAAGTACCTGGCTTCCTTACCTCAAACCCCCCCCCGCAGGCCGTGACAGAGTAGTACTGCTGACACCACGCTAGTCTAGTAGCACACCTCCTGCCATCGAGTCGATTCCAACTCACTGCGACCCTACAGGACAGAGCGAAACTGCCCTGTAAGGTTTCCAAGGCTGTGATCTTTACGGAAGCAGACTGCCACATCTTTTTCCTGCAGAGCGGCTGGTGGGTTTGAACCGTCAACCTTTTGGTTAGCAGCTGAGTGCTTAACCACTGTGCCACCAGGTTCCTTCCTAGTAACACAGTGGACCTCACATAGAGATCAGTCACGTTACTAAACATTATGCAGATCCTTCCCTAGACTGGAGATTTTCTAATGCATGATTTTGCTTCCATGTAAAATTTGTTCATGCAACACAAATAGTGTGCTTATTCTGATCACAGTTTTATTTCATGCATCCCTGTCAGATTTTTATAATAGTAATATCATAGTAACTACAAAAAAAGCTTAATAACAAAGGAGAATAAGGCATGCGGCATTTCCCCACCATCATACACATTTCTGTGTATTTCAGTCAAGGTTTTCCGGTCAAGCAGTGGAGGTGTTGGGGAATAGCAAGTCACAACACTTAGGAATTCCTTTACCATTGTCCATCCCGCATTTCACAGATGCATGAAAGTACAGAGACTGTGCTCTTCCTCCTTACCTGGTACAGCAGGTACATGAAAAGCAGATAGGTGGGAGGGAGTGTAGTTTTCATCAGTGGGCTCTGTAATTTATGAACAGTAATTTGTTTGGCATGAGGGTTCTTGTTGATATATTAACTAAGGTACAATCGTTGTTTACGCTACTGATTTTGCATATAAAACATAGCTTTTGCCCAGGTTGCTAAACTCAGTAAATAATATCTTTCCAAGATGGACACAGTAAGTATTGGTTGGCTTCTTTTTAATTAGATAGGCAATTTATCTTGGCAAATATGTAAAATAGACTTACAGATGGGGAAAAAGTCCCTTAAATTATTGGAAGTCATGTATTAGGAAATGAGACATGTGTAGTGGATTGAATTGTAGTGTCTAAATGTCTTATTTTTTTCTTTTAGTATTTTTTCTTGTTTTTAAATAATTAACATCATTCTTCGACAACTCTTAGTATTTCTCAATGATTACTTTTTGTTTTCTTCCAGGGGCCACGTCATCTTAGTCCCAGAATTCAGTCTTCCTCTGGAATACTATCTAATCCCCTTCCTCATAATTGTGGGCATCTGTCTCATCCTGATAGTCATTTTCATGGTAGGTCCATTAATTTTAAATGAGTTTTTACAAACATTATCAGGTGTATGGAAAGCCATGGATGGATTTAACGAAACACTGTGCTCATTGAAAGAAGAGTACATATTGTATGAGTCCATTTATATGAAGTTCTGGAAAAGGCAAATGTAATATGGGTGGAAAAAATCAGGACAGTGGTTGTCTCCGGCAGGTTGGGGAGGGCTGAGGATTTCCTGGGAAGGGTTTGACAGAACTTTCTGGGATGAGAGTAATGTTCTGTATCTTGATGGAGGTATGAGTCGCACAACTGTATGCATTTGTCTGAACTCAATGAATTGTACACTTAAATATTGTGCATTTCATTATGTAAATTTTACATAAAAGAAAAAATGTAAACAAATACTAAACTCTGATTAATGTATGCATGCTGAAGTATTTGGGGGAAGAATACAGATGTCTGCAATGGACTTTGAAATGCATTGTAAAAAAAATAAGAGGAAAAAATAGGATGTATTGATGGGTTAAGAGTTTGGCTGCTAAACCAAAAGGTCAGTACTTCGAATCCACTAGGCGCTCCTTGGAAACCCGATGGGGCAGTTCTACTCTGTCCTATAGGGTCACTATGAGTCGGAATCAACTCGACGGCAACGAGTTTGTTTTTTGGTTTTATTGATGGGTAGATAGAAGGATGGATAGATGGATAAGTGATTTTTAAAAAGTACCGAAAACCAAACACATTGCCGTTGAGTTGATTTCGACTCACAGCGACCCTTTAGTAAGTAAGATGTTAATTGCAGAATCTAGGTGGTAGATGCATGAATGTTCATTGTAAAATTCTTTCAACTTTTTTTTTGTGTTAAAAATTTCGTAGTAAAATGTAAAAAAAAGAGTAGTAGGAGGGTTTGAGGTCAAGGGAAGATAACATACTGTTTATCCAGAACAGTCGTTTACAAAGTGTAGTCCCGTAATCTTCTGGGATCTAGAAGGTTAAAACAGTGTTCATAATAACACTAAGACGTTAATTTGTGCTTGTCACTCCCATTCCTTCACATATCTGTATTGTAGGTTTCTAGAGGTTCTATGATGTGTGATACCAAAGCAGATTGAATGCAGAAGAAGATAGGAGAAACCATCTGTATTTTATGGAGAATTTTAAAAAGAAACTTGCAAAGATATCAAATAGTCCCACTATTTTCACTACATTTTTTTTTGTTCATTTTTTATAAAAATATTCACGTTAATGTGTAATGAGTTTATTAGTACATAGAATGTATATATTTGTAGATTGGATGCCATCTTTAAAATGTGCAGTTGTCCCATGATGCCACGGTATTTTTTCCATTTATTTAGGTCTTTCATATCCTGCAGTTTAATAATTTCCTTTTTCTGTTACGGTTTTGCATGTCTTTTATTAGATTTATTCCATAAATATAGTTTTTGTTGCTACTGTGACAGGGGTATTAAAATTACATTTTCTAAGTGGTTATTACTGGGACATAAGAATATCAGTGATTTTTTAAAAAATAAACTTAATTTTGGGGTAATATTATGTTTACTGAAAAATTGCAAAGAAGACAGTTCCTGTACATCCGTCATCCAGCGTCCTCCATCGTTGGCATCTGACGTTACCTTGGGGCCCTTGTCAAAGCTAAGGAAGTGACATTGGTACATTACTGTTAACTAAACTCCAGACTTTATTTGGATTTCACCAGTTTTTCTATTAATGTTCTCTTTCTGTTCCAAGATCCAACTCTGGGTCCCCCACTGCGTTAGTATCATGTCTTCCTAGTCTCCTCTGATCTATGACAGTGTCGTAGTCTTTTCTTGTATTTCATGACCTTGACAGTCTTAAGGAGTACTGGTCAGGTGTCCTATAGGATGTTCCTCAATCTGATGTTTTTCTCATAATTAGACTGACTTATGGGTTTTTCAAGGAGCCCTGGTGGCGTGAACAGTTAAGCACCCAGCTGCTGAAAGGCTGGTAGTTCGAATTCACCCAGTGGCTCCGTGGGAGAAAGACCTGGCGATCTGCTTCCATAAAGATTACAGCCAAGAAAACTCTGTGAGGCAGTTCCACTCTGTTGCCTGGGGTCGCTATGAGTCACCATCAGCTGGCCAGCACCTAATAACAACAACATTGGGTTTTTCAAAAGAATGCCACAGAGGTGAAGTGCCCTTCTTTTCACGTATTAGGAGTACATGATATCCACGTAACATCACTGATGATGCTCCCCTTCATCCCTTGAAGATAGTGTTTGCCAGGTTTCTCCACTTTTCCATTTCCCTTCTCTATTTCTTTGTAAGTCACTACGTGTAAAGGTGGGAGGGGTGGGAATGAAGCTTCCCCTCCTGGAGGGGGGAATATCTACATACATTATTTGGAGTTCTTCTGTAAGGAAAATTTGTCCCGTCTCCACATTATTCATTCAGTCATTTATTCATATTAGTATACACTCATGTAAATATATTTTACATTTTGGGTTATAATCCAACACTACTTTTTTTATTTTTGTTGTTTAAAAATTTTTTTATTTATTTTGTTATTGTTGAGAATATATACAGTAAAACATAACACCAGTTCAACAGTTTCTACATGTACAATTCAGCATCATTTATTACATTCTTCGAGTTGTACAACTTTTCTCACCCTCCTTTTCTAAGTTGTTCCTGCCCCATTAACATAAACTCTCTTCCCCCTAAGTTTCCTATCTATTGTTCCTGTTGTCATTCTGATCCCATATAGATGGTTCTTAAAAAAGCATAATGCTCAAGGCAGACAGTTTTTACTAGTTAAGCTAAACTATTGTTCGTTTTTCAGAAGACTTCAGGGGATGTTTTTGGTTTAGGGTTCAAAGATTATTTCAGGGCAGTAGTTTCAGGAGTTCATCCAGCCTCCATGGCTCCAAAAAGCCTGATGTCCATGAAAATTTGAAATTCTCTTCTACAGTTTCTCTCTTTTGATCACGATTCTTCTATAGAATCTTTGATCAAAATGTTTGGTAATGGTAGCCAGGCACCATCCAGTTCTGGTCTCAGGGCAAACGAAACGGTTGTTCATGGAGACAATTAGCCACATGTTCTATATCCTTCTCCTGTTTTTGACCAGAGCACTGGTGGCACAATGGATAAGCGTTCAGCTGCTAACCAAAAGGTGAGCAGTTTGAATCCACCAGCTGCTCCTTGGACACCTTACGGGGCAGTTCAGCTTCTGTCCTGTAGGTTTGCTATGAGTGGGAATCGACTCGATGGCAACGAGTTTTTTGGTTTTCTAGACTCTCCTTCTTCTTCTGTTGCTCTGGGTGGATAGAGACCAATTGTGCCTTGAATGGCCGCTTGCAAGCTTTTAAGACCCCAGGCACGACACAAGGAACTGGGAGATAGACCAGAAGCACTACACACGTTATTAGGTCAATTAAGTGGTATGTCCCCTGAAACCATGACCCTAAACCTCCAAACCAAGGAACCAGATCCCATGAGGTGTTTGGTTGTACATAAGCAGCCTCAGCAGCTACTCTGTTTTTTGTTGTTTAAATTTTTCCAGATTTGGCCATTGGGAGCTCTGTCAGGTTGAATCCTGTCTCCCTTTGATTTGTCCCCATCCTTTTGTAAGTACTTCTTACTGTCTGGTATTTTAAGATGCTGCCAGCTCTTGTTGTATGTTTCCTGCTGTAGCCCTAGAATCAGACATTTCTCCAAGATGCCCTGGTTTCTTTTATTGAAGAGTTGTATTTAGCAACCAAGGTTTGGGCACTGGGCATTATTGTTTGTGTATATTTATCTTGTGTCCACAAACTTGCTGAATTCTATTCTGGTAATTTGTTGATTCTCTTGGGTTTTCAGTGTAACAGCTTTGAAGTATAGAAAGTTAGAAAACCAAACAACAAAAAATGCCCTTAGCAAACCAGGAGTAGAGGTAAATACTCTGAAGCTGAAAAGGTTATTGACTAAAAACTTAGAACAAACACTATTAAATAGTGAAGTATTAGAAGCCTTACCTTTAAAGTCAGAACAACAGAAGGATGCCTGTTGTGTCTACTTCTTAACATTATGGTATACTTTCTGGTAAAACAAGGGAAAAAAACAATGTAAAAATAGTGTTATTAGAAATAAAGAAACCAAATTTTTATCTTTTCTTTTTGTTGTTGTTAATAATGAATGGGTGCTGAATTATATGTCTCCTTTCTGTTGAAATGATCATTGGTTTTTCTCTCTTTTGCTCCATTCTTATGTTGGATTAGATTAGTTTGTTTTGTGATATTAAAAAATCCTTGCTTTCTTAAGATAAACCCTACTTAATTATGATGTATAAATTTTGTCCTTTCATTTTTGGATTATTCAGATTTCAATTATGGGCCAGTCTTAGACTTGAACATAGATGTAAAAATTCTAAATAAAATACCAGTCTGAATGTCCACATAAAGGAAAGCTTTAGTTTTATGGGACTAGAATAATCTCGATATCAAAACTGCCCCATTGCTGTCAAGTCAATTCTGACTCATTGTGACCCTATAGGACAGAGTAGAACTGCTCCATAGGGTTTCCAAGGAGCGGCTGGTGGATTTGAACTGCCAGCCTTTTGATTAGCAGCCATGCTTTTAACCAGTGCGTCACCAGAGGGCTCCAATATCAAAACTAGATAACCAGTATTGTCTAGAAACTAGTGTCTTCCCCTTATTTTCTAAAATAATTTTTAAATAAAATTTGGTTTTTCTATTATTTGACTTTTTAATGGAAGTTCCCATAATGTCATTTAGATCTAATGATCTTTTTCATAGTTACCTGGGCATTCAGATGTTTTCCTACTTTTTTTTACTAAATTATATTTCTAAGAAATTGTCTGTTTTCAAATGTAGTAGCATAAAGTAGTTTATAATATTTTTTAGGATTTTGTGGTTAAGAGTTCAGGCTGCTAACCAAAAGGTTGGCAGCTCGAATCCACCAGCCACTCCTCGGAAACCCTTGGGGCATTTCTACTCTGTCCTGTAGGTTGCTATGAATCGGAATTGACTCGACGGCAGCGGGTTTGGTTATGGTTTATATGTGCTGTGCAGTATGTTCTCTTTATTCATATTCATTTGCCTTGCTCAGTCTTGTCAGAAGTTTACCTTTTTAATCTTTCAAAGAAGTAGTCTTTGAGGTTTGTTTCTTCCTTTCATTCAACAAATATTTATTCTACACCTACCTTGAACTCTAGGGTCTTAGGACTTACCAGTGAACAGAATATATAAAAATCTCTGATGCCAGATAACTTACATTCCAGTGGAACTTACAAGTCTTTGCTTCTTTTTCATCTGTCTCATTAATTTCTGCTTTTACTGTCATTGTTTTCTTTCTTCTACTTTGTTTGGATTTATTTACTTTTCTTTTTCTAGCTTGTTGAGCTATACACATATTAAATTTTTTTTCTCCAGTAAATGCATTTAGGTTATAACTTTCCCTTCAGAATCACTTTGGCTGCACACCACAACTATTGACAAGCAATCTTTTTTATTCTCATTTGGTTTCTTTTTTTATATAGGATGCTTCTTTACCACCCTTGATGTTTCCATCCATGTGAAGGGGAACTTAGTGTAATTCCTAGCCTTTGTCTTAGAGGAAATGAAATGACTTATCTGAGTGGTGCATTTGGGAACAATATATCGGCCATTCTAGGCCTACCTCCATCTGCTTTGCCTTTGGACCAGCCTTTCTTCAGGGTTTAGTTGTTCATTTAGCTCCACCAGGATTGGTTCCGCTCCCCTGGGTAAGGGGGAGGGGAAGGACTACTTTATTCCATAGTTGTCTGCTGTCTGTATCTATTAGGTAAATCAGCCTAATTCTGTGGTTCAGTCAAAAGTTCTGTTTCTTTTTCCATTGAGTTAGGTACTCTACCTTGCTGCCACCTGCCAGTTCATGGTCTTATTTCTCAAGTCATTTAGAATCCAGGTGGAAGAGAGACAAGCTGATTATAAGGCCCCCTCAGAAATTAAAATATCCATTATGATTTCTTGTGTGATGTATGAATTTAGTAAATTTTTAAATTTCAAAAACCTTATTTTTTTCTATTAATGTCTAATACAGTTGCATTGTGGACAGAAAACATGGTCTGTATATTATGGATTCTTTAGGTATTTCCAAAGACCTGTTTTGTGGCATAGTTATGTGGCTAAATTTTTAAAAGTTTCCCAAGGCGGAAAATGTGGACTGTAGAGTTCTCTATATGTCGTATTAGGTTAAGCTTGTAGATTTGTTTTGTCTGGTCTTTTTTAAAAGCATTTTTTTAAACAACTTCATTGTGAAATAATTCATATACCATGCAGTTCACCCATTTAAAGTGTACAATCCATGGCTTTTAGTATAGTCACAGAGTGGTGCGGCCATCACCTCACTTGTCTTTAGTCTTTTACACTCTTCTATTCTATAAAGCATCAAAGCATCACAGGTGTGAAGATTGATATCCTAGGCATTAGTGAGCTAAAATGGACTGGTGTTGGCCATTTTGAATCAGAAGTCATATGGTCTGCTATGCCAGGAATGAGAAATTAAATAAGAACAGTGCTGCATTCATCATCAAAAAGAACATTTCAAGATCTATCCAGAAATTCAATGCTATGGATAATAGGATAATATCCAAATGCCTAAAAGGAAGACCAGTTAATATGACTATTATTCAAATGGACACACCCACCACTAATGCCAAAGATGAAGAAATTGAAGATTTTTACCAACTTCTGCAGTCTGAAATTGATCAAACATGCAATCAAGATGCATTGATAATTACAGATGATTAGAATACGAAAGTTGGAAACAAAGAACGATCACTAGTTGGAAAATATGGTCTTGGTGATAGAAATGATGCAGGAGATTGCATAATAGAATTTTGCAAGACCAATGACTTCTTCATTGCAAATACCTTTTTTCAACAACATAAATGGTGACTATACACGTGGACCTTGCCAGATGGAATACACAGGAATCAAATCAGCTACATCTGTGGAAAGAGACGATGGAGAAGCTGAATATCATCAGTCAGAACAAGGCCAGGGGAACAATCCTTCAGTTGCTCATATGCAAGTTCAACTTGAAGATGAAGATAACTAAAGCAAATCCACGAGAGCCGAAGTACGACCTTTAGCGTATCCCACCTGAATTTAGGGACCATCTCAAGAATAGATTTGATGAATTGAATGCTAATGACCAGGTGAGTTGTAGGATGACATCAAGGACATCATACATGAAGAAAGCAAAAGGTCATTAAAAAGACAGAAAAGAAAAAAAAGTCCAAAATGGATGTCAGAAGAGATTCTGAAACTTGCTCTTGAACGTAGAGTAGTTAAAGCAAAAGGAAGAAATGATGAAGTAAAAGAGCTGAACAGAAGATTTCAAAAGGCACCTCAAAAAGACAAAGTAGTATAATGAAATGAGCAAAGACCTGGAGTTAGAAAACCAAAAGGGAAGGACACACTCGGCATTTCTCAAGCTGAAAGAACTGAAGAAAAAAATTCAAGCCTTGAGTTGTAATACTGAAAGATACTATGGGTAAAATATTGAACGACGCAGGAAGCATCAAAAGACGATGGAAGGAATACATAGAGTCACTGTACCAAAAAGAATTGGTCAAAGTTCAGCCATTTCAGGGGGTAGGATATGATCAAGAACTGATGATAGTGAAGGAAGAAGTCCAAGCTACTCTGAAGGCAGTGGCAAAAAACAAAGCTCCAAGAATTGACTGAATACCAACTGAGATATTTCAACAAACAGATGCAACGCTGGAAGCGCTTACTCGTCTATGCCAAGAAATTTGGAAGACAACTACCTAGCCAGCTGACTGGAAGAGATCCATATATATGACTATTCCAAAGAAAGGTGATACAACAGAATGCAGAAATTATTGAACAATATCATTAATATCGCATGCAGGTAAAATTACGCTGAAGATAATTCAGAAATGGTGGCAGCAGGTGCATCAACAGGGAACTGCAAGAAACTCAAGCTGGTTTCCGAAGAGGATGTGGCACAAGGGATATCACTGCTGATGTCAGGTGGATCATGGCTGAAAGCGGAGAATACCAGAAAGATGTTTACTTGTGTTTTATTAACCACGCAAAGGCATTTGACTGCGTGGATCATAACAGATTATGGATAACATTGTAAAGAATGGGAATTCCAGAACACTTCATTGTGCTCATGGGAACCTGTACATAGATCAAGAGGCAGTTGTTCAAACAGAACAAGGGGATACTGCGTGGTTTAAAGTCAGGAAAGGTGTGTGTCAAGGTTGTATCCTTTCACCATACTTACTCAGTCTGTATGCTGAGCAGATAATCCGAGAAGCTGGACTATATAAAAAAGAATGTGGCATCAGGATTGGTGGAAGACTCATTAACAACTTGTGATATACAGATGGCACAACCTTGCTTGCATAGGAGTGCACCTTGAAACCCTCAGCCATCAGGGCCTTTGTCTATTTCCGGTAAACCCTGGAGTTGTCAATGCATCAACTTATACATTTGATGCTCCCTCTTTGGTTCTGGCCCCTGTGGATTTCTCTTTCATTCTTGCAAGCCCAGTCATTTGTAGTTAAAACATTTTGTATATTTTCTCCAGCATTTCTAGGTATTTGTCATAGAGAAATTCTGTGTTCTGTTGTGCTGCTGGAAATAAAAATGCAGTAACTAACAAGTGTATGTTTGAAAATTTTATTAGTTTGTAACTTACAGGAATCTCAACCCTCCCATTCATCTTGATCCACTGGAGTCTTGGTCATGTATAGTCTACCATCTGTGTTCTTGTAAAAAAAAAAAAAGTTATATGTTATTTACAATGCCTCTGTCAGACTAAGAGTAAGTTAAAGATTTCAAGGTCAATGAATACAAATTTGAAGGATAATTTATGGGGTAACTAATCACTAATGTAATTTAATGCTTTAGTTAATCATATTACTGCGATAAGCATTTAAGCGACTTGAATTGGTTTGCAGCAGCTATCTAGGAACTTAAAAAGGCATTTGTTATTTTAGTATTTTGTTTGCATGTTTAATATCTGACTCCTTTTTTTCTCTTTTACTTTCAGATCACAAAATTTGTCCAGGACCGACATAGAGCTAGGAGAAATAGACTTCGTAAAGATCAACTTAAGAAACTCCCTGTACATAAATTCAAGAAAGGTAAGTGAATACTTTTATTTTCTAAATTATCACTCTTAGTTTACTTACGAATACGTGGCAACCATACTGTAATGCTGCTTTCTGAGTCTGCCATACACTGTGCCCAATCCATTATATGGATATACCACATTTGATGTATTTGATGTGTTCATTCATTCGTTGATGGACAGTTGGGTTCTTTCCACCTTTTGGTAACTGTGAATAATACTGCAGTGTTCACTGGTATACGAGTTACCTGTTTGAGGCCCTGCTTTCAAGTCTTTTAGGCATATAAATCAAACCTGTTGCTGTCGAGTTGATAGGACGGAGCAGAACTCTGCCCCATATGGTTTCCAGGGTTGTAAATCTTTATGGAATTAGACTGCCACATCTTTCTCCCAAGGAGCAGCTGGGGGGTCCCAACTGCCACCCCTTTGGTTAGCTGCCAAGCATCTAACCACTGTGCCACCAGGGCTCCTTTTTGGCATATACCTAGGTGTGGAATTGTCATGTCATATGGTAATTCCGTGTTTAATTTTTTGAGGCACTGCCAAACTGTTTTTGAAAGCAGCTGCACCATTTTACAATCCCACTGTTGTTGTTGTTAGGTGCCGGCGAGTCAGTTCCAACTCATAGTGGCCCTGTGTACAACAGAACCAAACACTGCCCAGTCCTGCGCCATCCTCACAATCGTTGTTATGCTTGAGCCCACTGTTGCAGCCACTGTGTCAGTCCATCTCATTGAAGGTCTTCCTCTTTGTCTCTGACCCTCTGCTTTACCAAGCATGATGTCCTTCCCTAGGGACTGGTCCCTCCTGTCATTAATCATTAAACTCATTGCCGTTGAGTCGATTCCGACTTACAGAGATCCTATAGGACACGGTAGAACTGCCCCATAGGGCTTCCAACGAGCACCTGGTGGATTCGAACTGCCGACCTTCTGGTTAACAGCCATAGCTCTTAACCACTACGCCACCAGGGTTTCCATCATTAGTCATTAGGGAAGTGCAAATCAAAACCACAGTGAGATACCACTTCACCCTAACGAAGATGGCTATTATTTTTTTAAAAATAGTTTTTTAAAAAACAGTTTTTATTATTAAAAAACTGGTGGCACAGTGGTTAAGAGCTATGGCTGCTAACCAAAAGGTCGATGTTCGAATCCACCAGCCACTCCTTGGAAACCCTATGGAGCAGTTCTCCTCTGTCCTAGAGGGTCGCTATGAGTTGGAATTGACTCCATTGCAATGGGGATTTTATAGAAAGAACTACTGATTTAGTTAATCTAGACATTTTACCCCTAGTTCTCTCACTAAACACTGCCCTGCTGTTGTGAGGTCCCTGCTGTGTGAGTTGAGATGATACAGGACAGATTACTAACTTAACATTGGCACACTTGTCTGCTATCTGGTTAATCCAGTAATTTACATTCCTCACTCAGTCAAGGCCATTCTAGTGAAGTACACTTGAAATTTCTGTTTCAGACAGAACAAATGGAAGGCATTATCAGAACAGTGATACAAATCTACTTGCTAAAAAATAAATGACTTATTGGTTTGCTGACAATAATATCATCCTCATCCGTCTAAGACTCATTATAATTAAAATCGTCTTAAGTGCTCTACTGGTATATACTGTGAATTGACATTTATACAGTGAGCAGGGTAATAGATTCAGAATATAACTGCTGCTTATTTTTTAAAGTATTTTTTGTTTCTGATTTAACTACTCAAAGACAGATTTTTAAAAACTGTTAAAATAGGGTGAGGTAGAAACTATTAAAACACGGTGGCTACATTTATAGCAGAGCCCTGGTGGTGCAGTGGTTAAGGGCTTGGCTGCTAACCAAAGGTCAGCAGTTCAAATCCAGCCGCTCCTTGAAAACCCTGTAGGGCAGTTCTGCTTTGTCCTGTAGGGTCGCTAAGAGTCAGAATCAACTCGACAGCAGCTGGTATGGTCCAACAGCAGCTGGTATGGTGTGGTATACATGTATAGCCATCAGAATGACTGTTCCTTACTTCATAGATTCCCTCTCCACTGGTCCCCCAAACTGCATTCTTTGCTTTTATTTGTAAAGGAAAAGTATTCAAAATAGTACTTCTGTTCTTGAGACCACCAAAAAAAGAAAGAAATGGCCATGAAGAATTTTGTTGGGTTTCATTCCTATAGTTTCCTAGACCTAAACTGCATTTGATAGTTCCCAGACTGTGTGAGGTGCCCAGGCCACTGCATGACCTCATGGGGTGCTGCAGTGATTTTACATTTTCAGGAAGAACACAGGGGCAGCCCTCAGACCCTGCCGTGAGCTACTGGCTCATCGTACTTTAGTTTCCACGTTAGATCGCCAACAGTCCTTCAAATGATGGCTATATTTTTGTGAATCTAGGTGGTTGTGATAAAAAGCAGGTCGAGCGTGAAAGTCAGCGTGCTGCAGGAGATGCAAGTAGCAATGTCCATTCCGATTCCAAGGTTTGAGAAGTCGTGCAGGGCTTAACAGCACTAAGTTGTTAGACATAAAACGTTTGGACCTAACTGTTCAATAAAGAGAACGTTTTGGAGTTTCTCTTGGTCTAGAGGTGCTGTGAAAAAATTCCTGAGACACTGAAGATACTTTGAACTGAGAAGGTTTGGGAGCCTCTGCCATAGTCTGTTACAGTATTTCTGCTTGTGATCCGTTTGCCTAATGTTCCCTTTTCTTAAATAACGGCTCTAGAATCAGTAGCACAAGATTCAAAGCATGAGCGAAAATTAAAATGTTTCCTGAGCTTTGAAAAGAATAATTATTGATAATAATTAATGTGTAAAAATTAAACACAAAGGGTATGTCATGAAACATAATCAGAGTAATAGTCGGGAGCCAGAAGACAGCTTTTAACACCTCATTGGTGTTGGCTTTGATACTCAGTGCCTTCCTGTGATTGCAAAGTGATGCTGCAAATTGAACATGAATGGATTTGTAAATGGTATCTAAGTTCCCCTAATCCTTTGTGGATTGTTGCTTAAGTGCAGGCTTCATTTATAACTATTTGGATGAGAAAAAGATACTGAACCATGCATTGTAGAAAATAAGATACTATTTTCCAAAAGATATTAAAGATATTAAAGTCTGTTATTCTGAAGTCCATGCAATAGAATATTATGTAACTATTTTTAAATGTTTTAAAATACTTCTTTCACTCATTCATTTATGGAATAAATATAATTCATATTTCCATTAATTAACTGAGCAAATAATTACTGAGCACAGAACAAGTCTCTTCAGATAGTAGTAACAGCTCCGGCTTTTCTTGAAATCTTACCCAAAATTTAGTTTGTAAGGCTGTTCACAACATTTGTATAAACCTAGATTCTCATGCACTATAATTCAGAATTTTCATTACTAAGTTGTAAGTTATCATCCATCCAAATTTAGAAAAACGTCTTTTTTGTATGAGTTAATGCATTTCATGATTCAGAATTTTCTGGTTTTGCCCTAGCCCACATAAGCAACTTCTTCTCTCCTCCTCTGTTTGCTTTTACTGTTGTCTTCACTTTCCCAGCTCCCACTGTTACCCAGCGACTGTGAACTGAAAGGCATTTCTCAGAGAGAGGAAAAAGTGGCATTGGGTGGTAATTATTAACTTTATTTTGAGGACAAAGGAAGGTGTTTTTTAGGGCCAGGAGGCCACAAGTACTGGGGAGATGAATAATCTTCCTCAGTAGGTACCTATCAAAACTAATAGATAATTCTGTTTTTCTTCTCTCACACTTTTTTTTTTTTTACAAACACAGACATTGCCCAGACCATTCTCTCCGATTTACATGAAATACTTTATAGAACTAAAAAGATCAGTAGATGAACCAAAGATTTATAGAGACATGTTTACTGTGAATCACTCATCTTGATGTCATCTTCGCTAGTCCCACCCCTTTCCACATTTGATTTTGGATGTGTGTGTTTCATGACACTGCCTGACCACACCCAGGACACCCCGTGTTTGTTTACAGTACACTGTTAAAATGACCCATGGTGAAAAATACTTGGGCAAACAGTAACTGCAAATGACCCCAAAAGACAAGAAATACTATTCAGATTAATACAGATGCCATTTTCCACCTTTCACGCTCTCAAGGGTTTAAAAACACTAACCATCCAGTATTTGTGAGGGCTGAGAAATGGGCGTTCTCGTACCTTTCACTGCTGTCTGCTGTGGATAGCAGAGGTTCTTAAAATCCCTACTGGGAATATTCTGGCCATGTGTGAAAGAGCTCTTAAAATGCTTATATTCCTTGACCCAATAATTTCAGTTATAGAAATTAATCCCAAGGAAATAATCAGAGTAATATATAAGGATTTAAAGTTGTTCGGTTTTGTTACCCGTTATAGTGAGGAAAAGCTAAACACAGTAACCAATAGTAGGGATATATTTAAGTAAATTATAGTTTCTAATACATAGAATACTATGTAATCATTTACAATTATATTTTCAAAAATTAATCCTCTCATTCATTTAGTTAAGTATTTATCGAGTACCTATTATGTGTTAGGGTCGCTGTGAGTTGGAATCGACAGCAATGGGTATTATGTGTTAGGCACTCACTGGACCTGTGGGCATTCAGCAGTAAATAAGACAGAGTAGATCTGCCCCATAGGGTTTCCAGAGAGCGGCTGGTGGATTTGAACTGCTGACCTTTTGGTTAGCAGCCGAGCTCTTAACCACTGACCCACCAGGGCTTCTTGTGAGGACGACAAGGGTTGATTTGTGTAGTGAGCTTAGCATGGTGTTTGGCACATAAGTAAGCACTCAGTGAGTATTTCAGCTGATGTTACTACTATTAGTCCTATTACTGTTACTCCTACTACTAAGACTAGTATTACTGCTACTGCTGTTACTGTTTACTACTTCATGCCATCTTGGGTATATATGTGAGTTTCTGTAGATCATTTACTTACCTAGGAGTGAAACTGCTAAGTCACAGAGTATATAGATCATCACATTTACAACACAGTGCCAAAGTGATCTCCAAAGTGTTTGTACCAA